CTTCCTTCCTTCCTTCCTTCCTTCCTTCCTTCCTTCCTTCCTTCCTTCCTTCCTTCCTTCCTTCTAGTGTTTCCTCTAAGCTGAGTTGGTGTGAGCTAGCTCACGGTTTTTTAGCCCCCGGCTGACACATTTTTGCCTTAGCTCAGGAAGGAGGGCTCCAGAGCAAACTAATTCATGCAGTGCCCAAATCACCCACTTACAACTTTAATGCCGGTCATTCACAAAGTGGAATTTTTGCTCACAGGACTCCATAGCTTAGAGGGAGCACTGGTGGTCTGTAAAGCTCCTACCAAGAGTTCTTTTTTCTGGTGCTTTGTGACCCCAAGGTAAGGGTGTGTTGTGAGAGAACCCTTTTTGTAGTGCAAAGGGCAAGGCAGAGCAGCCGGGGCTCCCTGAAGGGAGAGGGAAGCGCTGTGGCTCAGTATTAGGGGCTCTGTTTGGCACGCAGAAGGTCCCAAGTTCAATCCCCGGCACCATCTCCCTTTGAAAGGGCCCGGCAGGGCGTGATGGGAAAGACCTCGGCCTGGGGCCCCGGAGACCTACTGTCAGTCTGAGTAGGCAAGACTGGTCCTCCTGATGGACTCTGCGGTCTGTCTCGGTTCCTCCCTTTGAGCCTCACCCACAACCCTGTCAGGTAGGGTCGGCAGGGAGGGAAAGTGTGGCTCAAGGTCATGCAGTGAGTCGCACGGGCACCCGGCTCTCCCCAGGCCTCATCCCGCACACTCAGCAGTCTGCCTCATTAGATCCCGTGGAACCGGATCGCGTGGCCACGGGGGAAGGGGGATTTCTGCACCTTAGGAGCAACGTTCCCTCCGAGCTGTGGAGTCTTGTGAGCAAAAATCCTACTTTGTGAGCTCCTGGCGTTAAAGTTGTGAGGAAGCAATTGGGCCGCTGCATAAATTAGTTTGTTCTGGAGCCCCATCGTTCCTGAGCTAAGACAAAAATGTGTGAGCCGGAGGCTAAAAGACTGTGAGCTGGCTTGCACTAACTCAGCTTAGAGGGAACGCTGGCTGCAGTGCTCCCTCTAAGCTGTGGAGTCTTCTTGTGAGCAAAAATTCTACTTTGTGAGCTACTGGCATGGAACTTGTGAGCGAGCGGTTTGGCTACTGCATAAATTAGTTTGCTCTGGAGCCCTCCTGCCTGAGCCAAGGCAAAAATGTGTGAACCAGAGGCTAAAAGACTGTGAGCTGGCTCACACTGACTCAGCTTAGAGGGAACACTGCTCAGGAGCCCAGTGATTGTGAACCTTTTAGAGACCGAGTGCCCAAACTGCAACCCAAAACCCACTTATTGATCGCAAAGTGCCAACACGGCAATTTAACCTGATTACTGAGGTTTTCATTTAGAAAAAAACACTCATACATTAACCTAAGATGATCCAAACAAAGTAAGGAAAGCAATCCCAAATGCTTTCATTTACTTAAAATTATTTGGCAGAGAATTTGACACTTTAATGGTGGTCTGGGCTGGGGCGATGGCATGTGTGCCCACAGAGAGGGCTCTGAGTGCCGCCTCTGGCACCCGTGCCATAGGTTCGCCACCACTGCTCTAAGCTGTGGAGTCTTGTGAGCAAAAATTCTACTTTGTGGGCTACTGGCATGGAGGTTGTGAGCGAGCGGTTTGGCTCCTGCATAGATTAGTTTGCTCTGGAGCCCTCCTGCCTGAGCCAAGGCAAAAATGTGTGAGCCAGAGGCTAAAAGACTGTGAGCTGGCTCACGCTAACTCAGCTTAGAGGGAGCACTGCTTGAGAGTGTGTATCCGTTTTGGGAGCGAAGCCTCTTGGGCCTGGATATTCTCGGGGGGAGGGGGAGGGGTTCATGATTTCCCGCAGCCACGGGCGGGGTCTTTAGGGCAGTTACGCAGAATGTACCAATGTGTGCAGAGCCGGCAGATTTACATCAGTGCTGCGGCTGCAGTCGGCGCCTGCTGGCACAGGGCTGGGCACAGCTGAGGCACCCCGGCCTTCTTCCCTGCAGTTTTGATTGTGGCCGCTTGTTGTGGAGGGTGGGGGAGGGAACGCCAGCGCCGAGCTGGGCCCCCAAAGCGGGCTGAGCTCATTCCGGAATCAAGGGCTCCTTTGTGTGAGCCCTGGGCTGCTGCACGGGACCTCTGGGCGGCCTCAACGCCGTCCTTGCTCAAGGGCGAGAGGCGGAAGGCCGGCAGGGGCACGCCTCGAGTGCCGGGAATGTGAGCCGACTAGCCCCCTGCTCTGGGGTCTGCAGGACGTAAGCAGTGCCCCCAGTCCCAATTGGAAGAAGATGAGTATTGGGCCTCGGCAGCCAAGCCCGCTTCACATGTCAACCACTGAGTCTTGGGGGGAAGCCGGAGTCCGACACACCCAACCACGAGCATCCCTTCCCCTTCAGTCCATGCAGCAGAGACCCACAAGCCAGTGTGGTGTAGGGGTTAAGAGTGTCGAACTAGACCCAGGTTCGAATCTCCACTTGTGCTGTGGAAACTCACTGGGTGACCATGGGCCAGATGCACTCAGGATGGTGAGAGGGTTGAAATCCAAGTCTTACGGGGAAAGGCTGAAATAGTTATGTCTGTATAGCCTGGGAAAGAGAAGGCTTAGAGGGGACACGATTGCAGTCTTCAAGTATCTGAAGGGCTGTCATGTAGAAGATGGAGGGGATCTATTCTCTCTTGCTCCGGATTGCAAGACTAGGTCTAAC